AGAATTTAATGGTGCCTTCAAATTTCAAGTGCGATTTCAACTAAGTCCGCTACTGAATTATTTATGGTTAAAATATACGAATACAGCCTATCAAAAAAAAGCGCTCGTTAAATTACTATTAGATGGACATAACTTACTGATCTATAAAACACGATTCTTATGTAGAAAAGTACGTAGAATCTAATGGTGCCTTCAGATTTNAATTGGAATTTTTCACACACAAGCCTTGCTATATGAGCTCTCAAAGCATATAAAAATTATACGGCTTAAATGTGAAGTTGGATGTAAAAGAATACAATTAAATCCTCTGTCGGGAAAAAACGAAATGACTTTCCGAACAACCCTATAGTTTTTCGCCTATTCTTATATTAGTTCTAACTCTACCTCTACACCCTGTAGGTTCATATAAATACCATGTGTAGGTGGATACAAATACGAACAAATAGCTGTGTACTAACTCATGTACTCCAGTGATTCTTATGGTACCATTCAGCAACAAACGTAATAAGCATCATGACAAGGAAACAACATTTAATCGATGCATGAATCTTTAACAAGTTTTAACAAGCGTGTAATAGAGCGCGTGCCCATTTCACACACTAAACGCCACTTTAAAATGCGAAGTCATATTCTCATCATTAATCTCTGTGTAGCTACCCAAACTCGGTTAAATTGATTGTGGATAAATCATCAATCGCAGTCAAACCATTCCTTGATGGATTTATTAACAACAAGCCTTATTACCCTCGCTTCCTTCAGGAAAAATTAGTTATTATTCGGAAACGTTACCGAATGTTCTACAGAAAATTTTAAAACGTTCCCGAAATTTGTTGATGTAGGACATACAGGAAAAGCGTTCGACAATCTGTAACAAACGGACCAAACGTCGGAACTCAATTAACACCTTGGTTGACTCTCTATATGAAGTATTTTAGGGCGATAGTTTTTTTAACCATCATATCTTTGAAACCAACCCCTGCAGTTGAAAACCGAAACCGTCCTCATGGACGGGGGATGAAAGGCCTATTATACCATATAAGTCCTTTTCTGCACCCCTGACAACGTGTGTGCAAATTTTCATGATAGGTTTTACTCGCAGCATCGCTGGGGATGATAGGTGTCAAAGATCATAGACGACCACATAGAACTAATTTTTCTAACCCTCGGCATCATATTTTCTTTTTCAATAAAAGTAGCTTATGTCTTTTTAAGTACTCCTGGCAATGTTTGTATAAAGTTTCATGATGATCAGTTGAGTATTAGTTAGTTAGAGAAATGGTAGCAAATGAGCAAAGAAACACATTCACCTTTATTAATATTAGTTAGGATATTGATTTAACCAACGTGCTGATAGATGTGTTTTTTATTTTTTATATGCAAAACACAATTTCAGTGCTGTATTGTGACAGTATCAAATTTAAAGTGTAACAACCAAAGACAAAATAGAAACATTTACGGAAAAATCTGATCAGAAATTTATATTTTTTAAAGAAAACCCACTTTGTGGTTTGTGGAAATCTCAAAATACTTTTGTGGATGTTAAGATGCATTTCGTTGAGTGATCTTTAGAGATATTAGGAGAGGTTTTACTTTTATTTTTGCATAAGTTAACGTCAAGAAGAAGGAAAATGAACCTTTATCAATCGAATGATAATCCGTTTTTCAATAAGAAACGTCTTGTTAAAATATTGATAGGATAACATTCACAATTGATTAGTATGGTACGTACTTAACGATTAATAACTATAGGATACTGAACTGGTACCATAAGTCTATAGTTAATAGTGTAGTAGTAACACTACAATAATAAATAATAACCAAGTAGTATGTTAAAATAATATGTCAGGAAACAGCAAAAATTGAATTAATAATTACATTTAGCATTTCTATTTCTTAGAATCAGTACCACCATATTATAAAGGTGTATATTACCTATCAGGTTGACGCTGGAGGAAATGTATAATTTAGCCAACCTAATATTTATTGGTGGTGTTTGAAAAAACTATTTTGCATATTTCTTTCAGTAATGTAACAGGTAGTTTATGTAACTATACTGATTATTATTTTTGTTATTGTGCAAAAGGTATAATCGGCGAATGGGTATGTTTGATAATGAAAATATTTTCCTAAAACATCATTTATAGAGATGTGTCGGGTACCCCGTTTGAACCCCGTACCCGGCGGATCCGACACTTCTTTAGTATCCGGATAATCAAGGCGGGTAACCGACAGTTCCGGATAATTCTACAAGAGAGAAAAAACCAACACGAGCAATAATAATTTAATAAATACAATAAAAAACGAAAATTGGTAATTGATTGTATTGAGAGATAAGTCGTTTGTCCTTATGTGTATTATTAATTGATTATTTGTTACTTCGATATACAGTTCTTGTGTTAAAAATAAATTAATAGGGACGAACTATTACAATTTATGTCTCTTTTTGACATAGTATGATCTTAAGACTTTGCAAACTTTTAGTGTTTATAAATATTATATGTTTGTTTTAACGGTTTTAAATCAACCGTTTGGTTGATAATCCGCCAGGCAAGAATTAAAATTTCATATTAGTTTAGTGATAAACTTAGAAATGAAGAGGTATTAGAAATGATAGGAGAACAGAGGACTCTATGGAAGTCAATAAGAAACAGGCGAGTTAGGTTGGTAGGACACCTTCTCAGGCATGAAGGTTTAGTCAGAGACATATTAGAGGCAGAAACAGGAGTTAGGAGAGGTAGAGGAACATCTAGATCAGATTACTGTTCGCAAATAGTTAAGGATGTGGATTGTCCTAGTTTTAGGAAAATGCGAAGTTCATCTCAGGATAGAAAAGAGTGGAGGTACGTGTCGAACCAGTCTTAGGACTAATAACCTTATGATAATGAGTGTTTAAATGGCTTTTTGAACAGGACTTAATCTAGTTTGGGACTTTGGTGAGAGTGATATTTAAAGGAAAGCCTTTCAGAACTAATACATGAATCATTACTCGGTTATCCAGTACCCAGCAAGATTACTATCCGGTGAATCTCTAATAGAGAAATAGATTTAGTTTTCAAAAAATGCAAAGGTTGACTCATGCGTGCCCAACAAGTGTTTGGGTTGAGGGCCTAATCATGATACGTAAAGATTAACACTATCAAAATATGAGTTTTAATCGAAAAATTAGGCTAATTTTGCCATGCCATTAGTTGGATAACACCATTTCAATTTTGAGAAAAAGTTTTTATCAAATACGTATACGATGTAGGTATAATGATACTAATTCCTCTGTATGGTCGATCGAGCAAATTTTGCGGCCCGATTCACACGATGAAATCGGTAGTAGAACCGAATTTGTCAAACGGGCACATTTAGACAAACGAAACGATTAACGCCAATTGCGAACCGAAGAAGTGAGAGATTCGATCTCGTGGTAATTTTCCCACACACAGGTGAGAGATGACGATGACGATGACAATGCCACGTCATATACCGACTACGATAGAGACATCGCAAGTCTCAATTTGCGGTCGGAACCTACAGATATTATTCATCCTGGCGAGAGGAAAAGAGAAAGACGAAGGCCAAAATCCACGAAGCAAGGCTTGGTTGGTTGGTCGGTGGCAGGCGGTTGCCTTTTGCTGTGTCAGTGTTCCTCTGGCGTCAACGCTATTATATTAAATAGATAGTAAGTAGCTACCGGGCTTCGGATGCTTCGTCATTTTCCACGTCCCCGCGATCATTAAAGTTGATGACTCGGGAGATATTGCGCGCCCTGTCAAAAATACACACGCATATACGGCCACGTTCGAAAGCTCTTTTATTCATCCTTTCGTTCGCTTTCTTACCGCTTTCTGCACCTTCACGGCCTGTCCGTCACCTGCCGATCTCACCGCCTGGACCTATCGCTAATACACACACCACACATACATACATACATACATACAGATACACACACATAAAATGTGTGTGCGAGATACAGCATTGGCTCCCGAAATATTGCTTGTTACGTTACTGTCATGTGTATCTCCAGCCTGTGGAGATTTAACGGAACCAAGGCGCCAGCAATGTTCATTCGCAGCGTTTTTGCGAAAGCATTGGATGATTTAGTGTAAGAGTTGTGCAAGAGATTTCAACGTTATCGAGATAACTCTATCTCAATAATTTACAGAAATGTAAATTTTGCTACACCTAATTGGGAATACCCGAGGTGCAAACACCTGAGTTAAAACAATCATGTGGCAAGGATCTCGTGTGGTATGCAAGGGAAGAAAGAAAAACTATTAGGGAAAGACTTAATGTTAAGATAGAAGACGAAAAATTAGAAGAAATGGCTGATTTTTGGTATCTAGGAAGTCAGAAAAAGGAATAGAAAAGATTAGAAGTGTTCGAAATGTAGTGTTACAGACGAATGATGAGGAAACTGTGGATAAGAATGGTTAGAACTGAGGAGGTATTAGAAAGAATAAGGAAACAGAAGTTACTATGGAAGTTTATAAGAAATAGACGAGATAAGAGAGTAGGACACCTTCTTTTTCTAGGTATGAAGCAGTTAAATAGTTCAGAGGAGATTAGATTACTGTTAAGGACAAGGGATGATCTAGCTTTACGGAAATGCGTAGATTAGCTCAGTCTTAGGACTGACAACCGTATGATAATGACACGGATGTGAACAAATGTTGATGATAGAGCCTGCTAGATTTAACTGACTCAGAATCTAAGTACGCCACTGCCTAGATCACCCTTAACAACTTTGTCTTCATGTCTCAGTAGTTGTACCGAAATCAGTCAATCCGTTTACAACATTAGCCTGCAAATTAACAGTAAAAATCTTTTTTAAGGGTGTTTTACATCTTAAAAGCATATAAATAACCACAGCTATTTCGGTAGTACCTACAGGGAGACATTATAGACGAGAGGAACATCATAATAAATTTCATTGTCGATGCTGAGATAGATTCCAGAAATTGTTCGAAACGGGACGAAGGGTAGTACCTATTAAATAAATGTATTACATACCTAGTTGCGGTGTGCTCACGAAGATTCTTTCCGTGTGTCCAAAAGGACTTCAAAACTTGACCGACGGACGTTCGTTGAAGATGACGATAATGATGATGACGGCATCCGGCGTGTTGTCGATGATGAGTCTGTCGGTGGTTTCCAAAGGTGGAGGTGTGTTCAGGTGGCGCCGTATTAGTCTCAGGTGAACAGAGATATTCGTATGAGATACCGTGGTGGCTGGAAAGAAAACGAAGACGTTTCTGTGTATATTCAGTTCGAATAGCCTAATGTAACGTAACAACAAATCCGAATCAAGGTTTACCGATTGAATGGAAAGTTTCGTGTAATTGTGGGACTTGACATTTTGGGAATCCCGCTTATTAAGGAAAAATTAATGGTCTTCGGAGAGTAATACATTCATTAGACTTGCACTTAATAGGTTCAGTTGAAGATGTTTCTTTGCGAATAGAATTTGAGAATTTATCGGTTATAGTTATTGAGAATTAAACTTTTTAGTATAAACAATTACAATAGTTCAAAGAGTTCTCTGACTGATTTTATGAAAATTCGGGTATTAAAAAATTCTTCTCAGACATGAAGGTCTAGTCAGAGACATATTAGAGGCAGAAACAGGAGTTAGGTTAGGTTAGGTTAGATTAGGTTAAAAAATTCTTCTCAGACATGAAGGTCTAGTCAGAGACATATTAGAGGCAGAAACAGGAGTTAGGAGGGGTAGAGGTAGACCTAGATTAGATTACT